TTGTAAAAGTCAAGCCCAGTTTTGAAAGGAAGCCTGGCATTTGCAGCATTTCTTTTCAAAAGTGTTTCGCATTGGAAACAACATTAAAGGTGCTATTAAGGTCTTAAGGGATAATACTGATTTGCCCTAGGTGGAAAGCCAAGCTTCTTCACCAGCTTTTGAAAATTTAGTTTTACATTACACTTTGGACATCTTGGCCTGGAAAAGATCCTTCATCTCTTACTTCTTATTTTTTTCATTATACATATTACTTTTCTCTGTCGAGAAGTTGCCAAACTCAAACTGCTGAATACCACACAGCAACAGAAGAATCCTTAACAGGACTTAAATGATTTCTTTTTGATTGGAGCAACTCAAACCCCTTAATGCTTCCTCTTAAGTAAGTGTACTTCAAAAACATCCTCTCAATTTAGAAAGGATTCTGAAGTATGTTAGAAGTAGCAAGGGAGGAGTTGTGGAGGGAATATTCTCTTCTTGGATTTAACATCTTCTAGAAGATGCCTGAGATGGTGGATGACAAAATTTGATGGGTTTTACAGCCTTGTCTCCCTAAATAGATCTCAACTTCATAGCCTCAGAGAAAACAAGATGTCTCAAATTCATCAGACTATATAATAAACTCTGAAAACTCTTACTTCCTTAATGTGTTTATCTTCAAGGTAAAACCAAGTTTTACCTTGAACTTAATCTACATTCAACTCATTTCAGTCTAAGGGCTCAAACACAGGATTGAGTGTTAGCAAATGACTACACCAGCAATACTGATGTGCACCCTCTGAGTTGCTGGCAAACAAAGAGTGATGCAATCACAAATTGTTTCTGATGACCTAAACCATGATGCTAGCAAAAAGCTAGTGCTAGTTCCAGTTAACCCAGCTGGCTCCTTATTTCTACAGCAAAAGAAGCATGGCTATAAAATTAAAGGCTCTGAAATTACAGTTTTGTCTTAGCCTGCAATGCAGGAGGGCTGAGAGGAACCAAACTGCCTGCAACACACATCACACAGCAGTGCTCAAGTCTGAAGTTATCAACTGCAGCATCATCAGGTGTAATCCTCAATCCTGGCATTCACATATGGCTGTAACTTGCACAGCACAGCCACAGTTGGTCCTTTACCAGAGGTACCAACACTGTTACCACCCAGGAAGCAAAATACAGATAAATATGAGGTGTTACCTAAGACAATGTGACTCTACATGAACTTTTCTACAATCTCTTCCTTTAAGAGTAACACAGCATTCCTTTGAATTTCTTCAGGTAACTGTTGTTCCACATTCTCATCTTTATAACATTCACCAATTATAACATAGATAAATTCTCCTGGAGCAGTCCTGGATCAGGAGAGACCCACTGATATTCAGAAGAGGTACATTAATAGCCACTGTGACTACAACTGAACACATGAGTAGCTTGGCCTTCGAACACCACTTTGCAAGGTTAGTACTGAACTCTCACTTAACAGGTCATGTATACTCATGAACACAACATAGAAAATGCATTCACACACAAAATAGCATTGCAGAATGGACACAGTCAGGCTTTATAAAAGATGACCATCAGTAATAGCTATTAAAATTATTTTATGGTCTTATGTCACTACAAGTGTACTGGTAATTTTGGAAATTGAGAGAAGCTGAAAATCATTTTTAGCCTGTGTACAGAAATAACAACAGGTGCTTATCTAATAAAATGAAATATTCTAGCCAAAGATAATTCTAAGAAATCTGCCTTCTGTCATGCACTGTCAAGTTTCCAGAATCAAAAAATAACTGCTTTTAGTCATAAAACTTCAAAGTATGTTCATACCAATTTTTCGATTCTGACATTGCATCTGAAATTGCTCTTCTTTGCTTATTGTGTACTGTTTAGTCTTCCTATCCTAAGTCTGTTGCTCACTGCTATTTAAAGTTGATTATTTTGCTCATCTCTGTCCCAGCATCCCACAACACTTAATAAGATTCCTATTTCTCTAAGAAATACAAATCACACATCTGAATTACCTCGACAATAGTTATTGAAAATATGGAAATAAATATTTAGTACTTGACAATTTGGAACCTTTAGCACCTATGGAGGCACATACATGACTGCAAATAAAACTTACCTTTTATTCATAAATTGGTAGGTTTATTCTTTACAAATGGAATCTTACCATGCACGTTGTACTTTACATGACGAAAACCAACCCAGTGTGATTGATCGGTGTCAACTGAATCCATGTATGAGCCCTTCAAGGCATTATCTCAAAGGATCCCCCAGCACCAGCATTCAGGAAGGCTTTCTGCAACATATACAATGAGAATAGTTACTCTCTGTAGCACTGTTGCACCTGCAGAACAACACCTTTCTGAAAGGTTTCGGAATAACACAAAAGTTCTTTTGTTTGTGTGTCCAGCTTAAGTTTCTAACAGCTACAGAAAAGGCATTTTTCACTGCATTGAAGGATGTTAGACAATATGATAACCAAACTTAATTTAACTCACTGTCTCATCATACCTGTGAAGATCTTTGATCTATACAAACTGACTTTTAAGCTTTCCTATAATCGTAATTTCTGTGAGTTCTTTGTGGTGGTTTCCAATGCTTTTTTTCCTATAAAATCACTCCCTGATGTAGCTCTCTTGCAATAGTGAAATGAAAATGAGTTTGATTTGTCTCACAAGAATCCTTAACTCTAAATATAAATCACGTTGATTTCAGATATGCCTCTGAGGAGGAGAGAGAGAGTGGGGAAAAAGTAAAACGTAAATGCATTCAACTCTGTGTGTGAAAGAAGCCAGCTAATACTCTCCCTATAACTGCAGACATATCTTGTTGTGAGGGCATTTTTGGTTTTAGTTTCATTTTTCAAATTCATCTTTTTTTTCCTGCCTTCAGACACGTCTGTTTTCCCTGGGGCACCTTCCCACAAGGTTCATTCTGCACCTTGTTTGCTCATTAACAGCATGTGGAGCCCACACAAGGATGTGACAAAACCTCTGCTCAACCATTACAGGAGCAGTGAGGACCAGCACAACACTGGAATAAAAGCAAAGCTAAACACAGCAAAGCAAAAAAAACCCCCAAAACCCAGCTGAGTTCGTTCTCCAACTTATCTGCCACCTCTGCTGTGTATTTAATTATTAAATCTAGCAAAATTTTTTGTGTTGCTGTCAGACGTTACCAAGCACAAACACTGGGATTTCTAACACAACCAAGGGAAGAAATTTTGTTAAAAATGTAATCTGACATAAATTATAAGACATTTAACTATATCCTTCTTATCCATCAGGTACAATACTTGGCAATTATGGCATTATGTTTTTAACAATAAATTGTCTGATTCTCTGGGCTTTTTGTGGAAAGAAATTTTCAGGCCTGATGAACTTTTAGGGGTAGAAAAGGCAAAGAGAAAGCACATTTCTGATTTCTATACGAATCAGTAAGAATTCATTCTTTGTACTGTTGGCACAACATTGTGCATTAAGAGACAAATCACCAGAGACAGGGAGCTGGTGTTTCAGCAGACCCCCTCCTCAGAACTGGCTTTTTAAAAGAGTGATAAAACTCCTTCCCACAAGAAAAAGATTTCTTCCCACACCTTCCAAGAACATGTTGGAGAGAGTGCAATGAATACATGAGACATAAATCATAAGAGCAAGCCAACACAAAGAGCCAGGACTCCATTCCTCTAATAGTTATATCAAATACCAGAAAAGAAACCTTGTTTAATCAGAGTCAGTGCATACCCAAGCAAGAGAATAGAATAGAGCAAGAGCACTCTTAAAAGAATAATACTGAAATTTAGTATAGAAACTAAGATCACTTCAGGACAGCTGCAAGTTCTTCCTCACCTATGCACAGAACTCCATATTCCTGCATCATCCTCTCTGCGGCCATGAGCACTCAAACCTGCCCACTTAACTCCTTTACCCCTCCAGTCTCCACCTGTAGCTACTCCACCTTCTCATACATTCTACATTTCTCTTTTGAGTGGCTTTTTTACCATCCATAAAAGCAAGAGAAGCATCCTAATCATTTCCCAGGAGCCTCTTCTGCATCACAAATGTCCATCTTGCAAGCAATGTTAATTCTTCACGCATTTTCAATGCATCAAGCCACAGAAGGTTCAGTGGAGCCCTACAGTCATAACTCCAATGCACCTTTGCTTCATTACCAGGGTGAGATTCAGTACTAGAAAAAAGCACATCTCTTCCATATTTGATACCTTCCCTCAACCAGTACAGGATCACTTGTTTCTTTTTGCTGTCTCAGGAAAATATGTTTATGTGAGCAACCTTTAGTTGTGATTTAGAAGCACCATGTTTTGTAAAACAGACATTGCCTATTTTACAAACAAGCCCTGGAAACTCAGTGATGGCCAGCAGAGTTTGCACTGTAACAGTGGTTGAATTGGTCTGTTCTGCTTGTCATTGCCACTACAGGCAGCAAAAAGGAAAAGATGCCTCACTAATGCAACACTAGATTTCACTAATGTTATGCTCATAGCAATGCCAGGAGCACAGGATGAAACAGTAGAGAACAAATGAAGAAATCAATTAAAAATGTTCGGCAATCTATTGAAATAATACTACACCACTCTGTAACACAATTAACTAAGCACCAGTCTCACTGTAACAAATTTACTAAGCACTGAAAAGCAAAATAAAATAAGAGAAAATGAGAACTGTGACATAGCTCATTAATGTATGGTTACTGGTTAAGAGAACCTTATTTTCTTGGGAAACCTGTGTAGCCATCAATCACTTCTTTTTTTTCCCATTTATTTAATTTTTTAACCACCCTATGCAAAGTGTGTGATCGTTGTTCCTCATCATAAAGCAAGTCAAGTTTTCCAACTTTCTTTCAGGTACTGAAGCAAAAAGCGCTAATAGAGAAAAAGTGGCAACACATTGTTGAGTAATGTCTTAGAACAACTTGTCTTTGTGACACAACCCCCTCAGCAGTGAGCAGGACGTGACAGAAGGATGTAACACTGCAACAGACTGATCACTTGGGGTAAAGCTGAGGCTCCACTGGGTGACAATGTCAGCAGCAGTGACAGCAAAAGCATCCTTTGTGTCCACTGAGCCTAAAAGGGAATATGGCATCTGCTTTCCCTGTGAGTTACAACTGCCCGTGCCTACAAGCAAACTGTTTTCCATGGAGATCACCCTTCCAGCCTGTCACAGCTGATGGCTCTCACCTTGCTCTCTTTTGGCTGCAGCCCAGCTAAAAGCAGTCTAGAACTGTGGGAATACATATATATCCCTAATTTGTACATATAATGCCTTCAAAACTCAGCCTCCATTGCACAAATGGGCAGATTCCTCTTTACAAATACAAATGATAATTTTTTTCCCAGCTATCAGCAGTGCAATTATCCCTTTGGTGGAAAGCAAACTGAATGAGATAAAAGAAATGCCTGTATTTTGTAAAAAGTAACATTGCAGGGAATGATAAATATGCACCCAATTTATTCAGAATAAAACATTTTAGTTACAAACCAGTAAGTCCTCATCTTCACAAATTGACTTTACTCGGCAATAAATTTGAAGTGGAATAGTAAAAGAGTTCAGTTTTGCAGACAAACCAGCTACAATATCACCCAACAATGTAACTGTACCACAGGTATTCAATTTTATTTTTGCAGTCCAAAGACCATATTTTTTGTTTTCCATTTCAATACAGGCAGACAGTGATGGATTATTACAATTGTAAGTCCACACTACACATCCTGTGTGGTAGCACACGATAAAGATTTTTTTTCCCCCTTTTTTTCTGTATGTGTGCAGCTCCATGCCCAATTATTTGTGTCAAAATGACAGTACAGTGAGTTTCCACAGTATTACCTATGCTGCAAAGTCCTCTGGTACAAGTGATTTTTATGCTCTTTGAAATCCTGTGGTCGGTTTAGGGATATGGTAAAAATGCATGACTGAAAAACGCTTTCAGAGATTTATAATCTATTACTTGGCTGCTGAGGCACATCTCAGTGGCAGAAATAGGACATCTGATGCCCTTCAGCTACTCTGAGATCACACAGAGCCCCTGCCTGAACATATCCATAAGGCTCAGAAGTGACTTCCTGAAATTAAAGAGCAAGCAGAATTAATATGGAGTCTGCCTCTTCTGCCTTGTCTAATGATGTACTGGAGAATTTCTTTGACTTCAGCTCTCTGTGGACAACTAGCCAGCAGTACAGCTCACTGTGGCTCCATCACAACAGTGTATGTGTCACTGGGCCATACAGTGAAAACTGAAAATACACCTTTCAGCATTTGTTCTGTCCCTCCCTCACATGCATTTTTGCCTTTATATCTTTTCTGTGAAAGTGAATACACAGGACAAGATTAACTAGACTGACTAAGACTTCACCACTGGCAAATGTTCTAAAACAGAAAGATTTGATGGCATTGGAAAAAAAAATTAAATTATCCAAACCAGAAGTTCTGCCTTTCAGCCACTGTAACACTATTTCACTTTAAGTCTTTGTCTAATTATTTCAGTGTCAAGGTACTTCAGACACCAACTAAAACTTTACACACACATGCATTAGCATTACTTAGACATTTTAGTACCAGTGCTCATGCAACAGCAACAGGAAAAATATTTATATTCAAATTCAAATGCTTGTAAAAGAGACAGTGCAATATAATCACACCCTAGCACAGACATTCATTAGCAATTACATTTTTTACAGTTTTCTAAAATGCGAGTCATGAAAATCAAAAGCACATAATTAAGAGCAACATTCAAACAAGAGTTTTATTTATATCTAGTCAACATTTCAGACACAGATAATTGCAGACCTTAATAACTGTGATTTGATTTATTAAAGATGTATAAAACAAGCATGGTGGATATGCAAAGTTGGTTCAATTTCTTTCAAAAGAAGAACATGTATTAAAAATCAATTAGGGAAGGGATGGGTTGGTACAGGAAGCCAATAAAGAGATGCATCAGCACAGAACTAGTAATTAAAAATAATATTCCTTTTCATTTAGCTCCTTAATTATTAAGTTTTTCATAACTGAATACTGCTCTATTTTAATCAAATGCATTTATATATTTGCAAGTGTTTCATAAATTGTGAAAATTATAATACATCATGGTAATTTAAATTACTTGGTTTTGCTATGCTCTAACTCTGTTTAGTTTGAATACACTGTATATTTTCTGGTTTTTTTCACTATTTGTCATGAGCATTTTTAAACAGGGACACAATGAAGGTAAACAGTGGGCAGAAATACATTTCACTGAAGATTCATGCAAACGCCTCACAAAAAAACTTTTTAATTAAATAAGATCCAGGTGGCTGCATTTTGACCAGAAAAGCTCCCATTTCCCAGTTTTGTCTCTACCAAACCCAGACAGGAAAATGAGCTATCTTTGCTTTTAGAAACTGGCCATAAATGTAACTTTTCACCATACAACCCTAAAGGGTGTGTGGTGGTACCACCATCCCCCACACACACACACCTTGGGCTGCACCATCATCTCACAAATGCTCGTTTGGCCTCGACCTTGATGAACAGCCCCCAGGCTGAGCTCCTCTGGAGCTTACCAGAACCACTGTCTGCTCCCTGGAATTTGTGCTGGCTAACAAGCTCCTGCTTTTGAAAAGCCTTAGAAAATTGTTTTTCTTGCCGGAAAAACAACCCAAGTGCAACAACGTTTTTGTTGTTGAACTTTCAAAGAAAGTTATCAACCCGAATCACGGCCAGGATGGAAAATTACTGTGGTGAAAAGCAAGTCTCTTGTGACCCTACAAAGAACAGTCCTGAGAGACCCTTTGAGCTCTCCTGGAGCACAGCAGGTGTGAGCAGCATCTCTGAGTGGGGCCTCTCAGAGCCAGTGAACCCTGAACTTCACTGTACTTGGAAGGCCAAATAACAACAACAGAGCCTGGGCTGATACCCCCACGGCCCAAAGCTCAACCCTCTGCCTGTTGAGAACATGCAAAGGCATCTGATGAGACTCCCTCACTGAACTCGAGGGGAATTTTTCACAGGATATACCTGTACATACTCCTTTATGTCTGTGTGTGTGCACATGTGAATATACTGTAACAAATGTGCTGTTGATGTTGGTCTCCTAAATTCTTAAATATGTTAGATTCATAAGTAAGTTAGGCCTGTGAGTTACTGTTGTGCTTATAGCAAATTCTACAGAGTCTTCTGTTAAACAGATTAAATTAATCTATCAATTAAGTGCTGTTAAATTTAAGTGCTGTTAAAACTTTTAGGCCTAAACTCTCAGTCAAGTCTGGGGCAAAGTTTGGTGAGGGAGTCCACTCCGAACCTCGTGAGTCAACAGGAGGGTCTCCCTTATTCCTTTTTATCCTTACCCTTTCCCATCCTTACCCTTTTCTCATCCCCACCCTCCACAAAGACACTGATTTCTGTTCTAGGTTGATCAATTTTAGATTTTAGTCCAATTTTTCTCTGTGTGCTTTAACCAACTAGTAAATAGTAGAATGAGCCTTTCCCTTTTCTTTTTCTACTCTCCATTTCCAGAGGCATCATTGAATTTTTATCAGTCTGGGATGTACATATCTAAAAATTATATCCTTCTGCTAGCTAGGAAAGCCCCACCACTGGCAGATGTATATCAATGTAATATAAAACGCTGTTGCTGAATACACAAAAGTTAAAAAAATAGAAAAGCCCCAAAAGCAAGCCATCAACTCCTTTTCTCATTGGTAAGCAAAAGCAAAAAACAAAACAATACTTTATTTCTAAAAAAAACCCCATGTCTGAATACATATAAGCAGGTATTGGGGTTGTTTTTCAGTAAGTGTCATTTTTACAAACTGATTTTTCATAGGTTTGTACAGGTTGTTTCTTTAAATTCATGCTCTCTGGCCAAATTTGACAAATTCCTTGATGCTGTAATTTTTCAACTGTGTGTTTATTGAATGTAGAGGTCAGTGGTTAGAGGGATGAATAACCTTGATCAGTTTTCACTGCTGTCAAGTAGCACAGTAGATGGGGTTTCTAAACTCCTGCGATTATCCAAGAACTATAACCCAAACTGACTCTTCCTCCTCCACCACAGAAAAGAGTAAAAAAAAAAAAAAAAAAAAAAGAGTAGGAGGTTGTAACACTAACTTGGTATTTTTCAAGCTCACGATTTTCTGGGGAGAAAAGGGGAATTGAGGAAAGGAGACCAACTCTTTTTTTTTTTTGTTACTTTTATCATGAGGTTGGAAATGCTGAGTCACTTCTGCTCTGTATATCTGTGGCTGCAAACAGAACACATGGTATGTGCTAAGAATTTCACAAGGAAGACACTAGAAGTTTTTATACTGACAGATGCTGAAGTACCTCATTTTACTCATATTAATCATGAAATTTGGAATGGACAAATTGGAATAGCAATAGCTACAGGCCTCTGATCTTAGATCCAGAGAGAGTCTAGTCACAATGGTCTGGCATGGTCCCAAAGGTAATAACTGTTTGACAAAAATCAAAGCTTCTTAATTTAGGCTTGGTACCAAGTTAATTTGGCTAGATTTTATCTGGTCCTGGTCAGAAAAGACTATGCAGTGCTGTTTTATGTGAATTTATAAGCTTGGATCTCACCTAGCTTGAACATCTCTGCGTTGAACTAATTTTCATGGCACACGCTTTCACCAGAGTCTGTCTGATTACCTTCTGGAAGCAAACTGGAATTGGAAAAGTGCTACTGGCTGAGAAAAGCAGAGGACCAAGCAGTTTTAACAGCATTGCTCTGTCAGATGCCTGCAGAATTACAGCAAAATACAGTCCAGCCATTTTTTGGACGTGTACATGGCCTATTTTCTTCTTAAACCTATAAACAGGCTGAGTTCTGGCATGAACTTTGAAGATAACAGCATCTTAAAAACTGTTCCAAACATTTTACAAAACGAGAGCCTTTGGTGGGATGGTTTCCATAGGAGCTCCTTTATGCTGATACTTCAGTGCACTTCTGCAGTACTATTTTAGACTCTTTCTCAGTCAGATGTTTGGTCTGGTTGTGTGAAGGACAAGACAACTGTACTGGTCTCTACAGCAAGATTATGTTTGTGCCACTTGTTACTCTTTTTTATTTTTTTTTCTATTTATTTTCAATAGCATTTTACTGTTTTGCCAGGAAAGCAGAAACCACCACCAAGATAGGAATTTCTCAGTGTATTTAAAACTACTATGTAGATTCTCTGAAAATACATAGTTTTTTGAGATAACTCAAGTTAATCAAAGAGATAAGAGAAACAGGATTGATACTGAGCTATTCTGAAGCCTGGGGAGAATAAAATAGATATATCAAAGAACAAACATTGTCTTCTGTTATTCTGGCTTCTTCTGCTGGAGTGTCTCTCATGCATTGTCACTGAAATGCATGGTAAAGGTATATGTTCTGTACTTACTTGAAATTTTCTAATAAAATACAATTGTTAAAAATAGAAATAAGTACCGAACAATAATATAGCTATATCTGACTCTACTGAACAGCACTTGATTGCTCATTCCTCTTCTCTTCACAACAAGGGGTGTTCTTAGAGAAGACTAGGTCATGAGACTGATTCTGGGAGAAAATCCAGATACACAAATTATAAAACTCTGACTAAAAAAATATAAATCAAATCATTGAAAAGAAAAAAATCCTTGGTTGAGACACTTCTGAATAAAATGTACAATAAATTTGGAGTCTTGAGCCAGAAACACCTCTTTTTTCATTACTCATTTGTTAAGTGTTTCTGTTTATGTAAACAAGCACATATAAATGATATGGGCTAAACAAGCAGGCAACAGTGACTCAATTCTTGTTCTAGACGTTTGAGTATTGCTGAAAGTATTCTTAGCTTTAATTCTTCTCCTGCAGTTATTGATGCAACCAGGAACACAAGAGCTACTAACAAACATCAGCATCCCATCTATAAAGACCTGAGTTATGCAATGTCAGAAAAGCTGCTGTATGTGGCTCCCAGAATAGGTCCACATTAATTGCTTACAGGAGGGGAACAATCAGAATTTTTTTCACATCACATTCTCTGTTACAGAGCACGGTGGTGTTCCAGGTTCACAGTACCCACAGGACATGGAATTCTATATGATCATTATCAGACTCGACATCAAAGAAGACAAATGTAAGGTCAAAATAATGGAGCTTATTTAGGGTACTGAAAAGGAAGCTGTAACTCCATGTCTGATGGTGCTCAGGGATTCTCCATCCTGGTGTACTAAGAGGACCAGGTGTGAAGTGACCATTGGCAAAATAAGTTTGGAAATTCTTCTGTCGTAACAACGATGTTATGAGACAATATACTAATAAGAGTATCAAGTAAAGGCACATAACTAGCTTTAGCTGAGGTCTGCTAAACTTGCAAAAGGATCAGATGTTGTCATCTGTGCCAGCAAAGGGCTAGAACTGACAATGACCATGGCTCTTCAGTCTTACATTCTCCTTTGGAAGAATCATCCAACTGTAAGAAAAAAAGTAACAGCTGGAACAAACCAGCCACAAGAAAGTCTCTATGGGTGAGACACTGGAAGAACCATCTCTAGAAGAAACATTGTCATATTTCATAAGTTTTCATGAATATTCAATACAGTAAGAAATTCAGTAAGGAATTACTCAGTGGTGCTCTGGGAATAGCAGAAATAGTTCTGTAAGTATTTCAGGAGAAGAACAATTTGGCATACATTATGTAAAAGAAACTCCAAGTAATCTTTTAGTCTGAAAGTACTGGAAGACTTCCAAGGATCAAATATTTGGGTAAAACTGTGTGCCTAGGGACTGATCAGGGGTACACTTTTAATGATAAAATCTGACTGTTGTGAAGACTAATTATTATAGACTAAAAAAATAAAATGCAAGTATTGCCAGGCTGTGAACGAAGAAGCTAAAGATTTATCTGCTTATGCAAAGGGCATTATTCTTACTTTTCTGGACATTAAGTTAGGAAAAATATTGCTGTATAATTGCAAGGAGATAAAATAAGAACTCTTATGCAGGCTGCATAATTATAATGCTTCTTGATACATGACTGCACTGCACTCTGAGAGCTGTTACTGACAGAAGTGACATCATGAGAAAACCATCTTCTTCAAGAGTCTGGCTTTCTAGTTTTTAAGAAAGAATACAAAGGTATTAAGACACACATTGTAATAAGAAAAGAAGAATTTTGCCTTTATGCTATAAATACTGCATCATAATTTTTAATCTCCAAACATTTCTAGCAAATCAGTTAATGGTTACCTTTTTAGAGAATAATGAGACAAAATAAAATTGTAAGGAGTTTTCCAGCCAGAATGATCCTGGTATCCAAAGCACTTAAATTCTACATTTTTTCTTTAAGAAAATAAAAAAAAAGGCATAATATTTGCCTCATTCTAGAATGTAAGAGATTTAATCCTGCTCCCCTTCAATTCTCAGCAATAATTAAAACAACACTAAATACACACTAAATTTTGAAACTTATCTCTACTGGAGAGAATCAAGGTCCAGGCAGAACAGTCCCAGGAAAATATCCCTGATCAATTCCTGACAGACTCCTCTGGCAATGCACACTGAACATCCCTTAACAGGAAGATTTAGCCAACTGGGGATCCTTCCACAGATGGAAAAAGAGATGGAAGTGGACCCCTTGAAAAGAATCCAGGCTGGCATTTGTGGTAGTCACGAAAGGTCACGGGACAAACGACAGAATGGAATCGGACGTGAAGTTGAATTATACATGAGATTAAAGCAATCTTGGTGTTATAATAAGAACTGCTGTGCAGTGTCAGGCCAAAGGGACAAACAGCTGTGAGAGTTGCCAGTGGGGCATGTCCAGGGGAGAGCATGGCAATGACAATATCTCTGATGTATGGTCATGATTACTGTATGTCTGAGCAGCAAATTGCATGTGGAGCTAAAGAAGTTAATGGGTACAGGACTATGCCTTTCCTAAGGTTAAAACAGCCATGTAACATCCCCCAGGCCCTCAAAGCCCTGCTTTTCTCTCATGCTCCATCATAACAGACCTGACTAAAACACAACCTGCAGGTTAGAAGACTCTTAAATGATCTGTCACATCGTATTTGTGACATATTGCACTATAATATGGCACTCGGAGGGAGGACTCCACAGAAAGGTGGATACCACTGGCTCCTGATGGAGGGGGACATGCATTAGTTCACAGGTGACCTTTAATATTAGGCAGCCTTGACAACTGGGCAAAGAATTTTGAATTACAATTCCACAGATTTGCAACATCACTGGACAAAAAAAATGAAAAAAAAAGGTAGATAATGTAGATGTTTAGTACTCAAAAGACAGATGGCAGATGTCACTTTAGTGTGTTCTGATATCATGGTAGCACAAGAGACCAACTCCTTTTCCTCACAAAATTCTGCACCATAGGTAAGGTGGAAAAACCTGGAAATTTGATAAAAAAATGATAGATGGAATTTTTTTTATTAAAAACTTTTGAGTATATCAAGATTTATCACAAACCACCTCTCACTGTTGGCAAAGAGTAGAAGAACCACTCTGTGTTTTGAAAGAGTCTGGACTCTTTCTGAGTCTGAACTCAGAAAGTGGACTGGGATTCTCTTAGAATTAAATTTATTGATTTCTTAATCCATAACATCTTTTCATTTGGAAAATATCCTTCCTTTTCATTAAATTTTCCCCTTATGTTTTTGCTTTTCAAATAGTGAGGAAAAACATATTTTAGGGGAAATTCTTTGGTCTTAGTTCTTCCTCAAATTACATGACATTTAGACATGCCTGGTAGACAAATATCTGTTGTTTTGATAATTCTATTGAGATGATGAGGTCCAAAATTAGGCCAAAGTATCTTGTTTTTATAATTAATAGCTACTATGTTTCCCATGAGGTTTATGTTTGGATCTATAAACTGTGTTTAATGATAAATTAACACATTAACTAACATATGTTTTAGCTGTTGGGCTGTCACAGTACTTCTCCCCTTGCCACAGCTATTGATAAAGAAAACAATGAGACATTAAAAAAATCAAAGTACAGAAAAAAAAAAAGAATATCAGTCCTCAAAGTAAACTATACCTCCCTATTATAATGCCCTAGTCATGGGGCATTTACAATCAAAGAATAACAATGCCAAAGAAAATGACTACGTATGTGAACGTCTGATGCTGAAAAGAAAACTGATTGATTAGAACAATATTGAGACTTAAAACCACCTAATCACAATCAGTAACTTTTAGTCTGTAATCTACCTGCACAACCAAATGCATATGAAAAAAAAGACAAAATTGCACTAGTTCATTCACAGGAACATGAAGCTGAAAATCAAAATGCATGATGGCAAAGGCTTCAGTGCCCATTTCTTTAAATATTAAATAGCTGAAAATTAAAGTATCAGAAGTCCAGACAAAGGGATATTACGCTCCACAAGATCTGCCTTTGAACTTTTTGTGACAGACTGGTTTGCTTTCAGATGTGTGAAAAGTTTTTCCTCTGCAACAATTCTCTGAAATCATTTCTACTGCTTCACTGATGGTAGAATGTGAAATACTCCCCCTGGGGAAGCAGGGAGCTGCAGCTTGTCCCTACAAGCTTTTCCCCAAAGATTTTGGTCACACCAGAATCTTCTCTAACTACTTTTCACAATCCTGTAACGAGGAAGTAACAACATTTACCTGCCTTTTGGAGATACTTCCCAAGTGAGAAACACTGAGTTATATCTCTGATGAGTGACATCAACAGAAATACAGCTAAAAAATTCATCCTTTTCTTGTGCTAATAAATGTACAAATTTCAAATGCAACCATTTTATTCTAATTAACAAAACCCATTGATGCCTGCATGAAATTCTTTTAAGTTCCCTGTGCTGAGAACTCCAAATGTGGCACAGAAACAGTGTCAGCATCATTTTTTTTTTTCCTAAACAGAGCTCTTTTTAAGCAAGCTGCCTCAGAGGCTGAAGGGCATGGAGTTCAGTGTGGACAACAAAGCTTCCCAAATGCCAGGACATGCTGCCAACAATACCTGGGAGAACTAAGAGTGAGATAGCAAGACAAATCTGCACACACTTTGGTCACATTGAACAGCACAAGTAGTCACAGATAGCTTGCAACTGCTACTCCTCTGAGCATCAGGTTTGTCCTCTGCACCCCTAAAAAGACAAAAATTAAATCCAGGAGTAAATCGTAAAGGGTAAAGTGTGTGGGATTTGTGACAGCCAGAAACAGCTGGTTTAAAGAGCAAAAACTGGTGTAAGTTCTATGGCACTTTCTGGAAGAAACATTCAGAGCTGTCAATTACCTTTGGTTGTCTTAACAACCTCAATGTATTCAAGCATGGGACCAAAAAATTTAGGTAAATCAGGAATGGAAGTGCTATTCAGAGCAATAAAACATCATGAAAAAATGTGTCCTTCGCAACGAATATCACCTTCAGAAAAGGCAAAAAGGGGAATCAGAGATACACAAATTGATTTTATGATCATTATTTAATGCAGAATGACATGAGGGTCCTTTGAAGCTGCAAATGACTCTAATCAAGCTATAATTACCTGTTTTCATCCTAAATCAATTCCCTCATAAGCTTTAGCTGAAATCAGTAAGGTAATAAACGTCAGACCTGTGAAGTCAACATGAGAGAAAGTTCATAAGCATCTGTTCCTTAAAAGGATTTATGTACAAACTTGGGCATTTTTTCCCTGAAAGCCTGATGATGGATGTGTTAAGGTTCAGAGCTGTGCCTGACAAAGGTGGACACTCTAAAGCACAAGAAACGGAGCCCTTGTAGATGAAAGACAAACAGTGAGCAAAGCCTAACCTCCTGGAAATGATTATACCTCTTGTCCAAAGACAGCTACAGTTTACTTTGTTATCATATTAAAATGTTGGTAAAGCTACTGAATGGTATCCAGTTTCCCCACAGAAAGCACAGCAGACTGACAGATCCTGGATTCTAACAGGAGCTTGCAGAGCAATGTGACAATTCAGGGAGGCAAACTTCACACTTGGTGTACAGTAATTCCTCTTGAGGAATAAATCAGAATAATTGAGGGGTATTTTTTACCATAAAAAAAAAAAAAAAAAAAAAACAAAAAAAAAAAAAAAACCCAAAAAAAAAACCAAAAAAAAAAAAAAAAAAAAAAACCTTAATATTGACCAGGATCAGCATTTTTTATCTAATTGAAACTGAGCATATAGATGGGCTCCAGGCTGCAGAGCAGAACCCACAGCAGGTCCCCACTAGTATCTTTATAATCTTCAGGCACAGTTTTAAATGACCTTGTTTATAACCATAGCCGCCTTTCCAGCAGAAAAATTTAGAGTTCTGTTGGTTTCCCTGGCAACTATTAGTAATGCAAGAAAGACACAACATAGAAAAATTACATTTTACCTGATCCTATTTCCAATAACTGTTAATTCCCCTCTCATATCAAAGGGAATTCTGCAATAGAATTTTCCCTCCCGTGTCAAGGGTGGCAGGAGTAACAGACAGTGCAACACTCTACCACAGTAAAGGCCTTTTCATATCTCTTTAACCATCACATCTGATTCTGCCCAGACAGGTACAAAACAAAGCCTAACCTTTTCAAGAAGCTTTCTGCTTTTCATCTGTGTGGGTTTAGCTCTGTTGTGTTTCTGGGGAGACTGAGGTTGAGCAAAATGCAGATACTTCTCCGTGTTCAGCTCTTAACCTTTTTCCCGCCATACGTGGCGTTTGAGCAGTGCTGTGCAACAAGCCCACTCCAGAAGTCAGTTCAGCCTAATTCAGCAGGACTGAGGTGGTGACTCCTCTGTTTATTCTTCCTCATTATTATTCTAACACCAACTGAATTTAGTTTCTGCAGAAGCCCCACACTGATATCTTCTTTTCCCCCAGTACTTGTCCTCCCAGCCTGCCTTTGCTGCTTGTACAGATTCACCTTCTCAACATGGATGTCACACTCCAAAGGGAAACGAGCTGCTGAGTTGTGAAATCTGTGTGGGTTTATCCTCTCTTTGGCACAGTCAGCATTTATAGGGACAAGGAATACTTGGTCACGTTGTAAAGCTTTCACCACAACCCAGGAAGGAGCAGAATACCTTGAAATTTAGAGATGAAAGGAAACATTATGTGACAAGCACAGCTGTGAAGAGCAGGGCAAATCCACCCCCCAAATAAATAAATAAAATAAAAGATTGGCAGAGAGGAAGAGGAAAGAGTTAAAGATAATACACAATGTGAACATTAAGTGAGTCTCTAGGAGGAAATGGAATTTCAGCCCTTCACTGACAGATCTGGAGGGGGAAAAATTTTATATATATTTCTGAAAGCCTGTGTTTACAGTAAGATGAAAGGGATAGAACATGGAACTAAAGTGAACTTTTATGTGGGGGGAACAGAGGTAACAATAACATACAGAAGTTCATAAGGTTTTTATAAAAAAATTTAAAATATCTGTATAATTTTTCAGCTATAAACTAGGTATTTACATTTCAATATTCCCTCTAGAACTTCGAAACCATTTTCATATTTTTACAGAATATATGGACAATTCTTTATTCAAATTTGTCAGGGAGCAAAAACCAAATGAAGACTCTAACCTATTTAAAACCCTGTGTGTTCACCCACAGGCTTTTCTGTCTGTGCAAGCCCACCCCATTAACACAATTTTATCTCCAGACTAATTGAGTCAAGCCAGATGCAGTCAAGAGCAGGGCAATACACCTACTCTTTCCAGGCATTTTTAGCCAATTGGATGCACGAAGCGTGGAATATTATTAGCATTCTTTAATGAAATGCACCCAAGGAAACCTGTATCTTAGTGGTATAACTCAGCAGCTCCAATTTTCAAAAAGTAAATCCAGAGAGAGCATAAAACTACTTCATGAACACGGAGTGAGAACAGAAGAGGGAAGAAACAAATTGTACCAAACTGGCCCTCTGTGTACCAAGTGAAGCAACAACCAAATCCTCTGAGTGCATTGTCACGCTCAGAAAGGATGCTTGCTTTGTCTCTTCTGCTAACTTAAGGATCTGAAGTTCTCTTCCTGCAGATACAGTGCAGTGCAGACTGGTGCAGAGATGTCTGAGCAACAGGCAAGCCCAGTTTGCTGCAGGATAAATGCAGGAGTGAGGTACTAATTAGCACGACCAGCCCCAGCACACGGCTGGTTCCATTGTTAGACCCCCCTCTGTGCCAGGCAGAAGTACCAACTCACTGACTGTTGGGTTGGACTCTTCACCCAGCATCAAACTGTGCTATACAAGCCTGTGCTATGTAGAACTTCTTAACAGACTCTGTGCTATGTGTTTTTCTTTAAAAAGACCAAGATCCCAGGAAATACTCTCATCTTTCCCCTGCCTTTTCTTGGAACAACATCTGACTTTAATGTTTACTGAAAAAGCAGCCTAGAAACATAATCTGAGTGGCTCAGAAACCTGAAAGCCAAGTGAAGAAAATAATCGGGGTAAAAATACAAACCCATCAATCATTCGATCCACGGAATTTGAACATCTCTATATGAGTCTGTATTGCAACTCCTGTAAATCTGACCTTCAGAGAAGAAGGGTATAGTGTAGGCATTACTCCCAGCACATCTTTTGGAACTTTGCTGGTATGAAAATACTGTTCAGTAGTTTCAGTAGCTCTGCTGTCATCTCAGAGACACAGTCAGTCTTACATCACTGGGAAGCACACAGAGAACATAACACAGATATCTATTACTCCTTCCTCTAACTAGTTCCCAGTTTTAAAATAGACTAGTGAGGTTCCTGTCGTGGCAAGAGTTGTGGACAATTGCCTCTTGAAGACAAATTTAGGGTAATTCCCACTGTCTCAACCCAGCAAGCAGAAATGACTGTACCAATGATCATATTGGATTTGATCTTTAGCTCTCACTAGGAAGTGCTGCCCTCTTTACAGACATAATTTGCAGGTCAAAAGTGATGACAAGTGCACTTTTGTGGCCTCTAATTCTATAACAAGTCATTATATTTAGGTTTCTGATTACACTTATTCAGATGTCCAAATGACAAGCTCCATTAAAAAGTTATTGTGATAAGAAAAAGGGACTAAACCACAGAAAATTTCTCAGTATTTTGGTATTATCCACAGGGCCACATCATTTCACTATGACAATGCTGCCCAAGAGGGGGAGAATCCCTATTTTGATGAACTAAGATAATTAACTAAAGAAGCTCACTGATGAATTTTCACTCAATGACAACACTTCCACAGTCTGTGCCTCTCTTTGGGAATTGTGGCTTGTGCAGAGAACTGACAGGGCAGAACAAGGACTTACAAACCAGTTGTTTAACCACACCCTTGAAACTGTACAGAAAAGGACAAGTCAGTCTGAATTTTCTCTCTCCTTTTCTTTGGGAAAACACACATATTTCTTTTTGGTGTCATGGATGCATAATGCTTATTATGATGGAAACCAGCAATTTTAATTAGCCTCATTAGGTCATAGAATCATAGAATTATTTAGGTTGGAAAAGACCTTAAGATCATTGAGTCCAGTCACAACATAGCACAGGCTGGAAAAGACAATATAGATATAAAGCAAACATAGCTCTACTTGGAAAGGCAGAGCTACACAGATTCTGGGGTACACTACAAAGACCTCCAACTAACTCCAAAGCCAAAAACAGTCTAATTGCATTTTACTCCCTTTGAGAGACAATTCTTTGCAACAAAGAACCTTTCTACTTTGATATTTGAAAAGTTCTTACAAAAAAATGATTCCTAGTAAAGGCTAAAATCTTTTGACAGCAGTCAAAAAGTTCAGGAAAAACATAATCAAGGTATTGAAGCTTTCAAAAGGTCCTTAAGGCACAGAGAAAGAGTATTGGGTTATGGGTGTTGCAGAACTCATATTTTTATTAAATAATGGAAATTCTAGCCCCAAAAACTACCAAGTCTTTGGGATAAAGGACCTGTACAGCAAAATTCATTCAGCAATATTTTTGTTCAGCTGTTATAATCATTTCTGCAAGAAATAACATTTTTCTCAAGCTTTTCCTTTACAGTTACTAAAAAACAAAAAAAGG